TGCGTAGGTTCTACAGCTTCTTTGGGGTTGTTTTCCAATATTATCAGCCTTAGAATGTCTGTGGAATATCATATATTGTGACTTAATTCTAATCATTGCCTAGTGATCGGCAGGTAATGTGGGGGGTGCATCCTGAGGGAGGTGCATGTTATCCTGCACAGAAGGCCTCTCATTATCTCACAAGGAAGGAGCACTAGCTTTTAATAGGAAGTAGTGGGGCATTTTGGCAGGCTCAGTAGGTTGTAGAGAATTTAGGGTTCGAGATTTTTCATGTATATCGACCTAAATGTCTTCATCCCATGTGTCAGGGTCCCACTCTTTCCCAACCAGGGATCTACCCTTGAAATATCATGCCTGCTTAAATGGAGAGTTTAATCTTCTTTGGAAGTTTCCACTTGGCTTTCTGTTACTGTTACAGTTAAGTCCTGGGATCTGTCCTCAGTTTTCTCTGTCTTCCCACTGCAGGAGATGAGAACCTCTTTACATGCTTCCAGAAGATCTTCTGGCTTCCATACTGAGCTTTGACTTGCAGATTAATCATACTCAGCCTTTCATTATCTCTCTTCAAAGTATCAAGTCTACTTAGCAATAGCCAATCAAATCCCAATGGTCTTATAGTATAGATACTATTTCCCCTATACTTTGGCAACAGTGCCTGATCTTTCCCCGTACACCACAGTTGAAAGCTTTAACAATTGCTGTGTTTTCTTGTGGTAGCTATGTTCCACCTGCCACTGATTCATTGCCAGCCAATGAAATTGGTGGCCAACTCCAAAATTCAATCATAGTGTCTTCTTTCTTGGACCATTCCTGGCACCAAATCTTTTAGGTCAGGTTCCATGAAAAGTAGACTCTGAAGCAAAGATTAGTGTTCTGGGAGTTTATTAAGGAGTACACTAGTGGAAGGAAAGGCATAAAAGTAGGATCAGACAGAGGGAAAAATTAGGCTGTGATGTTGTTGTATAATAAAGAATGTGACTGGTTTTGTCCCTGGTTCCTGGGAGGCAACTTCTAAACCATTGGAATTTGCCACGGGATAGGAGTGAGTTTGTTATTTATGGTGGGTCCTCGGACCACACCTGAGTTTACGCTAATGAGATGATTTAGGATGAGGGTTGGTCATGCCAGAAAGACCAACCATGTGATAAAAGAGTTGAGGCTTTCAGCCATGTGACATCAGCCTAGGTTCTGGACCTCTAGGGAGGGGAAGGGGACTGGAGATTGAGTTCCATCATGGAACCAGTGATTCAATCAATTATGGCTGTGTCATGAAACCACAATAAAAACTCAGGACACTGAAGCTCAGTGGAACTTCCTGGTTTGTGAACAACACCTTGATGTGTCAGGAGGGTGATGTGTCCTAATTCCACAGAGAGAGGGCACAGAAGCTCTGTGTTTAGGACCCTCCCAGGCTTTACCCTATGTATCTCTTCATTTGGCTGATTCTGATTTGTATACTTTATAATAAAATTGTAATCATAAGTATAGCACTTTCTTGAGTTCTGTGAATCATTATTCCAGCAAATTACTGAACCTCAGTAGGTTGTGGGAAACCCCAAATTTGTAGCCAGTTGGTCAGAAGTACAGGTGGCCTGTTGGTCCCTGAGCTTGTGGATGGCATCTGGAGTAAGGGCAGTCTTACTGGAGACTGTGCCCTTAAATCATGGCATCTGAGTTAACTCTGGGTGGTTAGTGGCCAAAATGCATGGTGGTACAAGAGACACCATCATAAATAATAACAGCCTCAGCTGATCCCATAGGGAGCTCTGATGCGCCAAAGCTCACGGTTATTCCTAGTTACGTAAAGGGATCAGATTTTTATACCTCCACAACGTCTTCAGGCTGCCCTTGGGCAGCTCTCTTTATTTATTTATTTATTTATTTATTTATTTAGCTGTGTTGCTTCTTAGTTGCAGCATGCAGGACCTTTGTTGCAGTGTTTGGGCTCTTTGGCGCATGGGCTTCTCTCTAGTTGCGGTGCATGGGCTCCAGAGGGTGCAGGCTCAGTAGTTGTGGTGTGTGGGCTTCTCTAGCTGTGGTGTGTGGGCTCCAGAGTGTGCGGGCTCAGTACTTGCAGCGCATGGGCTTAGTTGCCCCGCGGCATGTGGGATCTTAGTTCCGTGATCAGGGATTGAACCTGCATCCCCCGTACTGGAAGGTAGATTCTTAACCACTGGACCACCAGGGAAGTCCCAGGCAGCTCTCTTTAACCAAGGAAATTCCTGAAGGGAGCAGACAGTTGAGTACCGTCTGCAAGTAGCACTCCTAGAAACTGAGGGATGTCTTTCATTCTTGAAGCAGAATTTCCATGGCAAGTCATAGTGCCCAGTACACTTTGTTACAGTTTCCATTAAATGGTAGAGAGAGGACAGGGTGATTAAAAGCACTACTGAAGATTGTTTTGAATTTGTAAGCATTTTGCAACTAAAGAGAATTCAAAAAGAGAGATTGGCCGGTTGATCCTGGCAAATCCTCACAAGTGATCATATTTTCCCAATTAAGTCTTTTTGATGTCTTCCTATTACTCTTGGGAAAGATAGTCTTAATATCCTTAGCAGACAACTCACGCTCTGCGTGAAACGGCCCCTTCTTGCATCTGCAGGATCACGTCTTCCTCATCTCATTGCACTTATGTTCTCTCTGTCTGTGGATTGCACCTGACTTTTGAAAGTTTCAGGGCCTTTGCACAGGCTGCTTCCTCTGCTTGGAAATGCTTTCTTACCTCTTTGACTGACCAATTTGTACTGCTTATTCTTGTCTTTGTTTAAATGTCCCTTTCTCAGAGAGGTCTTCCCTAACCTTCACTCTAGATAAGGGCCACTTGTTATATGCTCTCACAGTGTCTGTTCCCTTTGCATGGCCTAAAAACACTTACCAGATATAGTTACCTGTGTATTTATCTGTTTAATGCCTGCCTCTCTCCCTCTGATAAGTGGCAGGAACTATGGCTGTTTTGTTCTTCTCTTTTTCCCAGCACTTAACTCAATGCCTGACATGGGAGTTTAATAAATATTTGTTGAGTGAATAAGTAAATGAAGTAATTAAGGCATAGATAATAGTGACAAAGTGCAGTGGTTAATCATGTGGCTCTGGAGACAGAGTGGGTTCAAGTCTTTTAAATCCTGACCCGTTCATTGAGAGCTCTGTAAACGCGTCCTCCCCTTTGACAATGTAGAAACTTATCATTTCACATTGAGTCTGTCTGACTGGGGAAACTTATCCTCAATAACCAAACCCTAGGAGAATAATGTGGAATAAGAATACCTATTTATCAGCAGCACTACCGTGTACCCCTTAAGCACACAGACTGTTCTGGGATGAATCCAAAACTGTCATCTTGGCCACAATACTCAGCTTCTTGGTTCCTCACCTGTAAACAAGTCTAACTCATAGCACCCAGCTCAAAGTTCTGTAAGGATCTGATAGGTTGATATATATAAAAAACAGTTTGTGGGACCCAGTATATGTGTGTGTTATATGTGTTAGCTAATATTATTTATTAAGTTAGGTTGGGAGACACCTCTGGCTTGACACCTGGAGCTGGTTAGCTGTGTAAGACGTTCCCTCTACGTGAGTAAAGTCATGCCATAGACCAAATAATAGACTGGAGAGTTGTCTGGTAGAGTAAGGGTAAAGGAAATCTCCTCTGGCAACATTTCTGGGAAGCTGTAGGGGAGCTGGTGGATAGCTCTTCTCTATTCTAGGGACCATTCTGCCTGAAAATCCAGGGTGAGTCATTCAGATCCAGAACTCTATCCCTCCTCACAGAGAGTGTAAACATCCTGGCAGATTCTGGCCCTTTGCTCCCCTGTTGTAGATTCCAGAAAGGCCACTATCCTTAGAGAAATACAGCCTCTCTTCAGTCATTCAGGTCACAACACAATTGATTAGGTTACAGTTTTCTTTAAATATACATTAGACCCAAGGAAGAAGTCTTATCACTTTGATTTCAGTTCCTCCTTTACCAAGTTTCCTTGCACATTTATGACAGGCTGATGCCTCTTAGGGTGGAGCATTTCTGCAGGTAGAATTCTAAGCTTTTCCTTCATTGTTTCTCCAAAATTTTAGAGCACTTTATAGTATCCCTCAAACTGGGAACCTGGAGACCTGAGCCTGGAAATGTGAGAGTGAGATCTGGATTTTAATTCTGACATTGACACTAACTGGTGAATCTGGTCATCACAGGGCTTAGATTTCCTCATTTGGAAAATGAAGCAGAAAGAGAAGATCAGCTGGAAACCCTTCCAGGTTTACAATTCAGTGATTATACATCATGATCTCCAACAAAAGTCAATATGCTGTTAATGTACTTTTAGGGTAGAAAGTTATACTGGGTATTTTGTAAGTGAAGATACTCACTTTTCTTTGGGCTTACTTTGGAATGTGGATTTTGTACAAAAAAAATAAAAGAATTCTCTTTATAAGCTGCAATTGTAGAGTTGTATTTAACCTTAGAGATTGCATTTCTGAGGACTGGATAAGAACCCTAATATGGTCTTCCAGGGCATCTAAATGACCACTGCGCAAACTACATAGATCACCCGGCTTGGGCTGGTTCACAGATCTTTTTCTTGTGTGCTTTTCTGGGAATGAATGCAACTGAGCAAGCAGATAGGTTCTGGGGGGAGAGAGTCACAAAAGTCATAAAGTCATTCTATCCCAACAATTTGCTATGGCTTTAGGGACAGCCCTAATGGCTGTGTGACATAACCTCTCTCAGTCTTGGTGTTCACATCTATTAAATAACACCTACTTTGCAGGGTTACTGTAAGAATGAGAATAGAAGTAGGGTTAACAGCGTGGAAGCACATAATATGCACATAGGAAAAAGTTATGCCCTTACTGCCAATTTTCCCTATTCCAGTAAAAACATTAATAGGTTGAGTGCAATCTGTCCGTGCTTGGTAAAAAGAGGAAAAATGTTTAATCAACTATAGTATAAAATAAACATTAAAAAAAAAAGGCAAAATGCATTTTGGTAAGTCTTGACATTTTCTCACCTCAGTTTTCCCACTGCAGTTGAGAATGTCTGGTCAGTGGCTTCAAGTGCTAGATCAGGAGTTATAGTTGGGTACCAATCTGGCTCTGTCCCTTATCAGCTGTATAATCTCGATTAGTTTTTCAACCTCTGTGGGTCTCAGATTCCCCTAATGCCAGGGTAATACAGATGGATAGGATTTCCTAACTAGCATTAGACTTCCTCTTCTCTCAATTTCCTAAATCGGAGGGCCGTAAAGGGGCCAAGGGCCCAACCCGCCTAGCACCCGCCCAGAGGGCGGGAAGTGCCTGCCAGGCGGAGGGCGGAATAAGGGCGGGTCAACGAGGCGGTGGGCGGGGCTTGAGTTCCCGCCTCCTATGCGTGCGCGCGCACCACGTACGCACGCACGCACGTACGCACGCACGCACAGCATACCGCGGAAGCGCGCGCGCAGGCCCAGCCCTCATCGCCGCCGCCATTTTAGCTCCTGGTTCCGGCCGCACGGTGTAGGCTGTTGTAGCGGGAGGGGTGGGGGTCCTCCAGAGTTTTGTAGCTGCCTTCGACGGCACCGATAGAGCCGCTAGGTTCTCTTTTTTTCTTCCTTCGTAACCACCCGCTCGAAGAGTCCGAAGATGTCTAAGCGACACCGGTTGGACCTCGGGGAGGATTACCCCTCCGGCAAGAAGCGTGCGGGGACCGATGGGTAAGCCAGGCCGGGGGCGCGAGGCAGGGGCTCAGGCTTTGTTGGGGTCCCGGCCGGGAGCGGGCCAGGGAGGGCTAGGCCGAGCGGGCCACGGGCCCTGACTCTTTTGTTTTCTGCTGGGCTCGGGTCACTGGCGGCGGGGCGCGGGAGAGCGGACCCCCAGGCGTTCGGCCCAGCAAGGGCGCGGGGAGCTGAGTGGCGCGGTGGCCGCCCGGCCCAGTCGGGAGAGCGGAGAGGCCTGTCGTGGCCAGTAGGGTGCCTCCTCCCCGGGCGGAGTCGAGCAAGAGTCACTTCGAGGGGAGCGGACGGGAGGGAACCGCGGACCTCGTGGCCTGGGCTCCTGGTAAGGCCTGGAGCCTGGGGAGAGGGTGGGGGAGGGCGCGGCGGGAGTAATCGTTTCCAAGGGCACCAGGTACTTCTCAGCCAGCGGGGTCGGGGAGAGGACCTTGGGGGGCGGCTGGGCGCCCAGCAATGGGAGAAGCGGAGGCCGGAAAGTGAGCGAAGCGCGTGGATTCTTGTGTAGGCTGGGGTGGAGGTGCTGGGAGTAGAGTGAGGCGTGCGGACGAGAAGTTCTCGGGGGAGGGGAGAGTAGAGGGCCAGCCGGGAGAAAGGAAAATGTGGAGTATACCTGATGGGCTGGAGGGCTGGTGGTTTGGAGACGCGGAGTTTATACTTTGGCGGGAGAGTGCGTGCCTCGGTCCATTCAAACACTTCAAAGTAGATACTAGGCAAACTTCCGCTCTCTGCCCACGCTCCCGCCATCTCCTTTATTTCCTGCTTTGGCCAAAACAGTAGTTATTGGGCATCCCCGGGATAGCAATTAGAAGGCATTCTTTTTTTCCAATAAATTCTTGTTTTCTGTGTCCCTCCCCGGCCCTCGTTCCTAGGTAGCTTTTGAAACGAGAAGACCCTTTTCAAAAGTTTTTAGTGTTTACGGCAAAGTATCGCCCGTCGGGAGGTTGCTTGGGAGTTGAAGTAGACCACGCCCGTGGTGTTTCAGATTCCTTTCTACTTACCTTTTCTTAAAGGTGCAGAGGAATTTAACAGTTAACCTTAGCAACTGCATCAAAATCATTTCTTGTCCAGTGTGTACTTTTCGTTCCTGAAGTACAGAGGTTTATTTGGATAATTCAGGCAGAGACATGAAAGTCTGAATATCTTCAATACTTTGCATAATTTTGCATTTTAGTGTGTGTGTACGTGTGCAGAATCACTGTGTCAAGTCTGTATAACTTTTGTTCACTCAGAGTCCTTCCTTTCGGTTGATTGAGGTGTCTGTGTCTGAGGAGTATAAGCCAGGATAGGGTATACTTTTTGGTGGCTTTCCGTATATTGAATATGGAAAGCATAAATATATAACAGTTTAATCGTGTACATTTTTTAGTTTACAGTGTTCTGTGTCAGCTTTCTCTCCCTGACCCCAACACACGCAGCAGAACTTGAGCACATTTGAGCTACAAGTCACAGGCTCCTTAGAGCTGGAAGTGACTTTAAAGAGCGTATACTCGGCTCCACTCGAGGGATGAGAAATGGAGACCCAGAGTTGTTAAGGTGGCTTGTGCAACCTTACAGTTTACAGGTGGATCTAGAACCTTGATCTTTTAATTTTCAATCTTAGCCTCTTGCTTTTTCCAGTACAGCACACAGACTGTGACTGTAGTTAAGAGTCATTACAGCCTATTTTAATGACATTTACAATGGGTTGGTAAAGTAGGGAACACTTGGTTCTTTGTTCCTGTGAAGCAAAAATAAATTGCTTGTCATCTGGCTAAGATGCAACTAATGCCTCTCACAGAATTCAGATTGGAAAAAAATATACGGGGAAGGAATGAATTCACTTACTAATATTTGTGTGTATGTGCACCATTTAAATGCTTTTTGGGGGATTAGTGGGCCCATGATATGTACATGGGTTTGTTCCCCTTTCCTTGCAAATCCGACATCCTTAGTAAAAATGTGGACTTTTTAAGTCTTTGGTGGTGACCTTTTGATTCTCTTGGATATTATATGTGACATCTACCTGTAAATGAACGAGAGTTCATCTTTGGAATAAAGCTCAAGTTCTGAGATATTTTGGAGGGACATTTGTATACTCATTTCTGTGTCACCTGAATGTCATTTCTGATAGAACTTTCTTTAGCAGTGGGCTTGGAGTGTTTATTAGTGCTTAGGGTTTTTTTTTCCATATTTAACAATTTAAAAAGTCAACAAAATAATTTGTTGACTGTCATGCAATCTTGCAGATTTTTCTTTTCTTTTTTTAAAGCCCTGCTAAGTAGCAGGTGGTTTTACATGAGAGGGTAGGCCTGTCAGTCTTGTGAACTCCACTGCCAAACATGGATGTCCCATTTTCCCCGCTACTCAGAAGGGAAGGTAATTAAGTGAGAGATTTTACTCAAATTCATGCTCCCAAACTATATATGGCTTTATTTACTCTTGCTATATTTTAAGTTTGGAAACAGGTAGAGAAGTTGAAGGTTTCTGTTACATATTGACCTTATTCCTTTTTCCATTTTTCCCACAACATTTTCTGTGTAAAATTATTAACCAAAAGACAACTTAATGTTGAAGTATGGAAAAAAATTTTGAAAACAGGGACATTTTTCACTTTGATGTTAGTTTCTGATATTACTGCCTGATAAGAATTTTTTCGGTTAAAAATGTGAAACATAGATAAGATAACGTACGTACAGTGTTCCCAAAACTTTCAGGTGCTTTATAAACAGGTTTTCACTGCAGTTCTGTGATGAGGTTAAGTAACTTGCCCCAGGGAACACAAGAAACGTCCATTCGTAAAGATATAAAGAAAAGGGAAAAAAATTATCAGAAATCTTCATCCCCATCTTTATTTAATCCCTTGATGAAAATTTTTTTAGATCTCTGCATATTTATTCACAGGTATCCTATTTGATACCAGTAGGATCTTTTAATATGTATTATTTGTGCTTTGATTTCTTTAAATTCACCCAGAAATACTTTATAAACTGTGGAATGGATATCCATTATTCTTTTCATTGGCTGCATAGTATTCCACTTGTAAAGGGGTATCATAACTTATTTAACCAATTTCCTGTTCACTGACGTTTTGGTAGTTTCCTAGTCTTACAAGTGAAAAGTGTGATGAACATCCTTATGTGTACTTATATCCCTAGAAGTCTCTGAAAGTGAGATTACCAGATTAAAATCAATGCTTGTTTAAAATACTCTGATTTTGATAACCAGTTTACATCTTCATTAGCAATCTTTAGTTTCTGTTACTCCATGTAGAATTTTAACGTGGTGTTTTAAATTTAAAAAATAAATGATAACCAATGTTTATTGGGCATTTATTATGTTCCAGGCACTACTTTAAGCACATTACATATATTAACTCATTTAACCCTTGCAATACCCCACAAGAGCTTTTTAAAGATGAGGAAAGAAATAAATGTGGTCATATAGCTTAAGTGTTGAGCCAGGATTAAGCTGAGATAAAATACTGAACCACATGCTAAACAAATGTGTCCTGTTGTGTCTCTCCCTGCCATTATTGTGGCTAAGTGATCACTGCTTTGATAATTAGTTTTTTAAGCATTATACCTCGATTAGTAAATCTTCTAAGTAACAAACTCCTTTATAATAAAGGTGCCTGTTTAAAAAAGAAAACATGCATATACACAATACTCTGCATATATTTATGAAGCAGTGGGTTTGAGCCCCCCCCTCCACTGACCCTAATTTTTATCTTCCCTTTCCTGTTGAAGGTGGGTAGTTGGAATCACAGGCAACATTTCTAGGTGATTGAATTTGCTTTCTAATTTTAATCTAAGAGACTATTTTATTAATACTTCTCGCTTTGCAGATTAGTAAATTGAGGCTTATACCTTTCCAGTGGTTATGCAACTGTGATCTAGGTGCTCGTGCTCCTTTTACTCTTATATTAGAGTTAAACCCCAATTCATGGTCAGCAGTTAATCTTTGTGTCTTCAGAATGTATTTTATGCTTCCTCTGTTGCAGTTATTTTTGGTAATAAAGTTTCTGGTGAAGTAGGCCCTTGAAAAACATGTATTATTTAGACCAGATGTTCTTTAAGGATTCTTTATGTTCTATGAACTATAAAATGTCTAGTCTTTGAATCCATTCCTGACTACAGTGCTTCTCACTTTGCTGGACACGTATCTATCTATCCTGTTGTAAACTTTTTCTCATTCACATTTTGGAGCTGTGCAAATACTTATTTAATTACAAGCACGTTAAACTGGAGCAGAATGAGAGAAGCAAAGAAAGGATGGTTGATGGTATATTGCGAAGATAGGCCAGGAAGCTTAAGTTCTGAGTTGTGGGACTTCAGTTTGTATGCTGAGTAGGTTATCCTTTAGGTTCCTTTGATTTCTTTCTCTTTATGCCACATGGGATGAGAAGCTCTGATCCTAGCTTGTATGTCCTGTAATTCTGTAGAAGGTGAACATTGGGTTGGGGGAAGGGAGGATCGCTTTTTATATATACATACATGAAAAGATTATATATATGTAAAAAATATATGTGTGTATGAATATTTGTGAACATATAATAAGGCTTTTCTCTATTTAGGCAAGTTCCTGTGGAATAGAATTATTCATTTTAGAAGGGACAATATCAAATATAATTGGTCAGCTTACCATTTTTGTAATTGGGGAACCATCCTAACTCATGCTGGGCTCAGCATTTGAGCTGTATTCTACGAAGGGGAGTAACTGTTGCCCAGCTGATTTGCCATTACATCAGAATGAATGGTCTTCCCTAGTCTGCTACTG